CTCTTGTGTTTGTTGTAAATGATTGGTTAAATTAAACTATGGAACTGGTTGGCCAAGTGGATGAGTTGAATTGATTGACTAAACTATGTAAGGGTTGACCTACAGAATTAAGTGGAAAGACCATTGTGTTGAATTAATCGATCGAATTGTTTGACTTAATCACGAGATTTAAGCACAATCCAAAAGATTTTGGTTATACATTGCATATACATATATGGAACAGGGTGTGATTTTTATAACCACGAATGTTTTATGACCATCAATGTTTGGAGTGCATTGAACGTAAATTCCTCTTTAATGTTTTTAAATGGTTTTGTTTTATCACTAGATATTTCATTCCTAAGACGAACCAAAAAAAACATAGTGGAGCTAGTCATTTCTTCGTTCATCGATGGAGTCAATAGATATGGGCATTATTTTGTCACATTTATACCATACATCATACATTTTATGATTTTGATGAAGATCTAACGCAGAGCTTGATAATATATCAAAGATTGTGTTCATAACATTTTTATAACATTTAGTAAACATTCAATGAAACCTAATTAAACATTATTTGAACAGGTTTGAGCACATATATTTTTTTTGAGTTTATTTGAACCATTTTTAGTTATGTTTAATCTTCTTCAAACATTTTTTTTACACATGTTAAATTTTATAATACTTTTTTGGATAGTTGTACATCTTCAAGTCATATTTAAACATGATTTGAACTTTGACTGGCCTATATGATTCAAAATAGTATTACAAGCATCAAATAAAGTTTAAACATGATTCGATCAAATATTGCACTTAAAATGTTGATCAAACCATCCTTGAACAAGCTTTGAGTAGGATTTGAGCAAGCTTTGAAGAAGATTTTGGCATATTAAAAAAAATTTGAATTTGGTTCAAATTGGTTTGATTAATATTTGAATAATGTTTAAATCTTATTCAAGCAAGGTTTGAATTATGTTTGAACATGGCTTGAATAAATTCAATATTTAAAAAAGATTCAAGCAAATTTCAAACTATGTCTGAGCATGACTGGAATAGGCTATTTTTAAAGATAAACATAATAAACCATGATTAAATAGGTAGAATACATTACAATATAAAAGATTACATCAATGCATGAATCCATAAAATCACAAGAATATCATTATATTAAATCACAATAATTATAAGTTGAGCATATTCACAGCAGTTATACATTATAGATAAAAAATTTGATTGCATCACAACATCTATAGTGCAACACAATTGAATTGCTTTCCAATATTTCAAGTGAGTGTTATGATACTTAATATTAATGAACTTGACCTCTGAAATAACTAAATCTATGATTAAAAAATATGCTTAAGACGTAAAATGTGCTCTTAGAATCATCATTGCTCAAATTGTTTCCAACAAGAAATTGTAGGCTTGATTTTAATTATTAATTATGATTTCAATCCATCA